GCACTAGTGAAACCTGAAAGACTAAAGGAGCTGCCCTGTGCAGGCCTTAGGTTGTCCTAGCTTGCACTGCTAGGGTCAGAGTTACTGTGCCAGGAACATCAAAGCCATAAGACGGGGAGAAGCAGCCAACATCTGTGCCAATCTCCCTCCCCAGCAAACGAACACGCGAGTCTGGCACAGACACTGGGCTGGGCGACGGGTGTTATCCAAGGGCTGGGTTGCAAAATGCTTGGTGGTGGTTGGTAGAGGGTTGTTCCTGGGAAGGAGACAAGCAGGTCCCCAGGCGAGGGAGTGCTGCGTGATCCAGATCCTCCGAGCCAGGGGAGGGAGGGGCTTGGCTGGGGCTGGGAGTAGAGCAGCCTCGCTGTGCTGCTGTTGTCTGGTGGGTTTGCACCCAGGCCGGGGTGATGCCTGTGCTGGGAGCCTGACCTTGGGTCTTGGCTGTTTTGCAGTGTGCCCAGGTGGATGAAGACTGGCGCTCTGCCAAATCCATCTACTACTTCCATGCCAAGGACATTGATGGCAATGATGTTTCCCTGGAAAAGTACCAGTAAGCAGCAAGGGGCTTGTGCGGCTGAGCCTGGCCCGGTGGGCTTTGCCTTGCTCTCTCTGAGCTTGCACAGCAATGACGCTGGGAGATCTGGTGCCCGCAGCCTGGGGAACGGGGTTGGGGAGGGAGCAGCACCTTTAGGCTCTGGGGAGGAGGGACAGCTCTTAGCAACAAAGCCGAGAAGCGGTGGCGTGGCCACAGAGGGACCGTCCCTGCCAGGCTGGGGGGTGGGGGCACGACCTTGGGTGCAGGAGCCCTAGGAACGGGAGTGAGCGAGGAGCCGGTTTGCAGAGCACTTCCCCTCCGTGCGACCGACCTCGTAGGGGCCCCCTGTGCCGCTATCAGCGTCTCGCCCCACCCTGCCCCTGCTGCACTAACTGCCACCGCTCCCTGCCTCTCCCCAGGGGCCAGGTCTGCATCATCACCAACGTGGCTTCGAAATGAGGCAAGACGGACGTAAACTACACTCAGTTTGTCGATATGTACGCCAGATACGCTGAGAGAGGTTTACGCATCCTGGCCTTCCCCTGCAATCAGTTTGGGAAGCAGGTAAGTGGTGCCTGCCTACTGCAATGCTCCGTGGGGGGCAGGCTCTGAGGGCTGTGGCGAGCCCCCATTCCCACACATGCATCTTGGTACACTAAACCTCTGGGGAAATGGGGCCACACTGCACCCGTGCCAGCAGACGGGTGCTAGGGGGGCTGCTGCTTGGGTTGGGAGGAGGTTGGGCTCTGGCTTGTTCTGGCCTTGGTGCCTCTCATGACACCGCTCGTGGCAGGTCCACGTACACGCCTGCAGGGAGCTGGACCTCCGTCCCTACCATGCGGTAAAGTCCCAGCTTGCCGAGCTGGTCTGGGCTCGCTGCAGCCAGGCACAGGAGAGCTGGGGGTGGCTCTGAGCATAAGAACGCAGAACCTGGATCTGCCAAGCCTTTCGGTAGAGCTGTGGCCTGTAAGCTCCCTGCCATCCTGTCCCAGCAGTAAGTGGGACTGAGGAACAGCCGCTGCCCTCTGGAAGCAAGCACTTTCCTGTCTCAGCTGGATGCATGACTCCTGCTCCTAAACCACTCACCCCTCACTGCTGTCCTCTCCTGCAGGAACCGGGAGACAATGCCCAGATCAAAGCCTTTGCTGAAAGCTATGGAGTGAAGTTTGACATGTTCAGCAAGATCGATGTCAACGGGGATCATGCCCTGCCTCTGTGGAAGTGGCTGAAGGAGCAGCCCAAAGGCAGGGGCACCCTGGGGAAGTGAGTGCGGAGCGGAGCAGCCCAGCCCTGGTGGGACTGGAGAGGGGGCAGACAGACCCCTGGATAAAATGGGGGCACCTGCCTCTCGCTGCCAGCGGTGCAGCTGATGCAGCACCAGGGCTACGAGGGGAGGGGGTGTGCTTGTCCCTGCTGGGTTGCAAGAAGCCCTCGGGCAGTGCCAGGCCTGGCTGTGGGGCTGAGCAATGTCTAGCAATGGGAATGGCTGTGCCACCTGCCATCTCACTGATGTTCTCTCTTTCTCCTAGTGCAATAAAGTGGAACTTCACAAAGGTAGGACTCGGCTCTCTTCTCATGGGGGTTTGGCTTGGGGAAAGTCTCGGTCAATGTGATCCTGCGGGATCCCAGGAGATGAGCTGCGGGAGAGCAGCAGAGAGCTGCAAAAGGTGTGGGATATAGTGAGCCCTGCTCCTGGGCCGGCACTTATCACCTGACAGCACTGCTTCTGTCTGGTTCCCTTGGGAAGGGGAGAGAAGGTCCCTGGTCTGTCCAGAGCCATGGGCTCCGGGCTGGGGACCTGTGCACTGGGGCTGCAGGCGCTTCTGGCCCCGCACATGGGCTCACGTGTTCTCTCTGACCCCACAGTTCCTTATTGACCGGCAGGGCCAGGTGGTGAAGAGATACAGCCCGATGGAAGATCCCATTGTAAGTCTGCCTTGTCGGGGCGGAGGATGGGACACTGATGCCCAGGCACAGCTTCCATGGGGAGGGGGAGGGAGTCTGGCCGTTTGCTAGTCCCAGCTTGGGCTGCCCTCATTATCCAGACGAGTTGCACACTGGACCACCTCCAGCCAGCTGTGAGGCCGCCTCTGGGACGTGGCTGTATTTCCTTCCTACCACTGCGCAGAAGGAAGCCATGCCCCTCATGGCTGGGAGGTCTCGGGGTCCTCAGCAGTGTGTGTTTCTGGCTGTAGGGTGGGATTGAAGCAGCTGGCAGTGGTTTGGGGCCGGGGTTAATGCCTCCAGCAGGGGCCAGCCCAGCCTGACTCTACCCCTCCTCTCCGCACAGGTGATCGAGAAGGACCTGCCCTACTACCTGTAAAGCTGCTCACTTAGCTGTACTACCCCCTCTGCTCTGCACTGGCTCACCTGCTCCCTGTGGAGCCTTCCTACCCAGCCCCATGACGGCCTGTCTTCAAACCAGACTGCTGGTGAGGCAGACCTGAAAGCCTGGCGTACACTTGCGGGAGGAAAGCTTCACTGGGCCGGTGGCCTGTGCGGGATAGAGCTGCTGTTGTGTGTTCACAACCTGGGATCTATTGCCTCATTGCAATAAAAGTGTTGAAAGCAATGCCTGTATAGTCTTGCTGGGAGTTGTGGAGGAGGAAGCATACCCTGCTCCACATGTGTGAAGGAGCCAAAACCAGGCTAGCTGCAGGCAGCAGTCATGCACAGGAAGGGTGCTATGCCTGCATTCCTCTCCTTCCTACCCTGGCATACAACAGTTTAGTGCAGGGCTAATCCGTTGTAGCAGCCCTAGGAATCATGTGCATAATCCCCTGCAGGCAGCAGCTCTTGGGCCTTCCCCGGAGCAATAATCCTCACTGGGTCTCTCATCAGACACCTCGGCACTGGCCCAACGCAGGGGCCGAGGCTGGGCTATGTGCAGGCCACGTGTTGCGCCATGATCCAGCCAACCGGTGCCTCATTGCCCACATGCTGATTTCATGGCCCCCTGAGTCCAGGCTCCTTCCAGAAATGCAAAGGTGGAATCCTCTTGCTTCCCTGTGAGAAGTGCTTTCAGGTGGAGCCCTTACAGCTGGCAGGTTATTTCCCCACCAGGATGGAAACCAATATACCTTACTTGCTGGCAGCCGTCGATCCTTTTGGATCAGGGTGTATGCATGAGAGGTCACCCAGATATCTGATGCATGTGCCTAGGCAGGAGTTTGGA